TTGGTATTTTGCGTTTGTTTAGTATAAACGTCGTTTCACTTTTCCAACTGTTGCCAGCATGTATTAGAGCCCCGCATTATATTTAAAGAAATTAAATAATGAAGATCTGAATGAATGTACGCATGTTTGCCGCATTGTGAAAAAACAACAGTACCTAGAGGCATCAAATTTTGAATAACATAGTCCTTCACTGGAATATGAGCATCTGGAAGCCCAAATTTGGAATTTGTTTTATTATCTCTTTACTGTTTTGTAAAACTTTAGCGAATTTTCGATTAATAAATTCATCCATTTCAAAGCGAGCAATGGCAACACTGTACGGGGGGGGGATTTTATCCAGCACGAGAGACTGTGCATCGGAATTTCGAAAGATATGCTCTTTTTAGTTTATTTGCTGTATTACCGTTGAATTGAATATTGTGGTTTAAGTGAAAAGAACATAATATTTAATAAATAAAGGTAACACACAAAACATTAAAAAAAAAAAAAAAAAAAAAAAAAAAAAAAAAACCCGCTCCTTTGGGCCGTAATATAAAATCCGAAAGCTCTCAGATTTATTTTGTGTGCAGCTACGTTTGGAACAAATAATCAGATAATTACCGATTAAAAGGAAGTATAAAACAAGAGAATTGAAATAGAATGAAAAATGTACATAGCCCATTATTGTGCAAAATGTATAAGATTGCTGAACAGTGTTAGTTCGACATAGGTTAGTATATCAGGGAACAAGCTTTTATTGTTTTTCTTGTGTATAAGGTAAATACAATCCTGTTTCCCTTAGAAAGTCCTCCACAAATAGGATGGCATCCTTTTCCATAGACAGATAACCTTTGTATGCTTTTCCGTACTGATTTCAACAAACAGTAGCAAGCATGTATGAAATACTAATTATAAAGATAAAAAAATGATGTAATTGTAATATCTGTACATCGTCGACATCAAGCCGAAACCACGAATCAACAATATCCCTTTTCGAGGGAAATAATTTTATTTTCATGGGCTTTATTTTGCAAAAATCGATGTTCTACACTAGTTCTAAACATATTTATCAAAAACAAATGCATTTTGCTTTTCGATTATAATGCAAAAACAGAAAAATAACATAAAAAATTAAATAATAATATTGTTACGTTTTTCTTTCTTCACGTGCGTACGGGATTCGTAGATTTGGAATGAGTAACGACGACACTTGATAAAGTATCGAAACACACTTTATTTAGCCAATACTGATCAGGACAGCTCCGAAGTCACGTTTTTACAGTCGTCGATGAACTACTATAAACACGCTGACACGATCAGCGACACAGCCTTCACACTGTCAGGCAATAACGGTGGTGACAACTTCACTGCAAAGCACCCGAGTACAGCTCCCAACTCTGTTTGGTTGTTCTCGGAACTCCACGTACTCTCTCGAGACAATCCACGCGATGCCCTCGACGATACACAAGAGTATAGCTCTCGACTGAGCACAGTCTAAGACAAAACTCTACGATGCACTAATTCGCGATGCACTGAAAACACTCTCTTGATGCACTCGACGACCAACCTCCGGCGCTAGACTTCGAGACACTCGCTCAATGGCTGACTATCAGCTCGCTAGACGAGGCACACACCCGATACTAAACTGAACTCCGCGGACCAGCAGGGTTTATATAGATTTTCGGCTTGTGTTCGAAGAACATTCTGGGCTAAACCCGGTAAGAATTGGTTCCTAGAAAGGTTCTCCATCCAATCCATGGTATATCGCCAATTTTGTCGCCAAATGGGCGATTTCTCGCCGCATGGGACAATCCTGCCTTCCCTTGCCATTTTATGGTAACCAATCTTAAAACTGCTTTGCGGGGAAGCCATCTTACCTCGCCTGTAGATTTCATAACAATATTAAAGGGTCACTGTTGTCCTCGGAAGATTTTGCAAAAGTATGGTTCATTTACATCACATATTTAGATTCATGGCCTAAAATTTTAAAACGATAGTTAATTATTTTTAAATTCTATAGTGTAGAACATCAATTTTTGTAAAACTCTTAAAACATTTTTTTTTTTTTTTTAAAGTTTTAAAGCTTGTAAGGATTATGTTAATTTTATTAACAGTTAAATTTTTGAGTTAAACTTCCTTTCGTATTAATTCTTAATTTCAACTTACCACTTCCGGCCAGAACGTAGTTTTAGAATCACGTCTGAATACATAATGAGGAAGAGCGGTATTTAACCGCGAAGTTCTTCGGTCTTAATAAGAGAGATACCAGGTATTCTAGCTATCATGCGTTCGCTTTTTTAGGCTACTCTCTCGTGAGCTGTTATCACGCTCGGCTGTACTTTAGGCCCTTGATAGCTTCCCAGGCTATTAACGTTAAGGGGCCAACTCTGCTAGAATTTTGATAGCTTTGGCTATATCTCTTTAGTTAAGATTAGTTTAGTTTAATTCTTAGTCTCTTAAGTTCAAGCCTAAGTGTCGGCTTATTGTACTACTACAAGACGGAATTTTGTTAAACTTTAGTTGGGATAATAAAGGGTTATTTTACCCTTCTATCTTGTTGTTTCCTGTCACACGAATTCAAGCGATTATTCGCTTATCAGTTCTTAAGGTATTCGCTTATCACTTCCAACCTCAACTTAGAATTACACAGTGCGGATTCCTACAAGCAAGGCGTGTCGACGAATGGAACCGAGGCATTTTACTAAATTGCGGAAATCACTATACGAGGTCCAATCAGCACTTGGGAATAAACTATGAGGGATCCGGCCAATTTGTTCATGAGAAAGTGAAAAGTGACGGATCAGATCTAAAGTTTATATCTTTCCTGCAAATTTCGCTATGTGTTGCGTTACCAGAAATAATGCTTTAACTTGTATTGAATTAATACAAATCACTTAATATGGGACGCCCTGAAAAAAGAAAGCATAAATTAGAAAAAAAAGTGCAAAAAAGTTGGGTTTCCTTTCTCCAAACACTTGTACATTTTCTAATGAACATTTTCTACCAGAAGCATTTCTGATTCGTGTGTCTGTTATGCAATATCCCCCCATTTGAAAATCCTGACTATTATATAATTATAGCTATTATAGTAATAGCTATAATTATAATGATAAAATAAATTTTTAATGCATTCAAAATTGCATGCAGTGTGTGCTGTTGTGTATTTAAATGTATTTATCGAAACTGAAAATTTTGATAAGTGGTAAAATTTTTCAATTTTTAATTACCTGCCACGCACCATTCGAAAGCAAATCTATCGATATAATGTTCATTGTGATTTTGTGTTTAATTATTATAAAACTATTTTAGCAATACCTTTTACCTAACCATCTCAATTTCCATTTAAAATCTCAATTTTCAAGTTTAGAAACAACTGCATCATCCCTGTTTTGCATACAGCCATCAGTTTGCACTATTCGTATAAATGAAATTGCGGTAAATGAGTTGAAGACTGTAGAGTCATTAGGGTTTTTTTATATGCAGGAGTCATGTGAAAAAGGAGCAATGCCCTCTCCGGGACTCGAACCACGGACCTCTCGAACTCGCGTCGAGCGTTTTGACCACTACACTGCGAAGGCTTGCTAAAAAGGTGGGAGAAATACCTTATATACTCCACCATTTAAAGGGCGACTGAGGTTTTGGGGACCCAATTGCCAAATCCTGGGTAGTGAAGAATCATCATTCACCACCTTTTAGTTCAGGCGCCACTATAGAGACATTAGGTATTTTTTTAAAGCAGGAGAGATAAAAAAATGAGCCATACCCTTGCCTGGACTCGAATCACCGTCCTCTTGAATACACGCCGAGCGTGCTCACCATTACACCACGAATGGCATGCTAAGAAGACGAGAGAAATACCTTAGAAGGTGATATATAAAGATGATTTACCTTCTCCGGAACTTCTAAAAGAACAGGCGAAACATTGGCAACGGCATTTTATGTCTATTCCCAAAGCAAAGCTCTCAGGCACACCAGTTTTGGTTTTAAAAGCTTCGAATAAAATCTTTTTACTAAATACTAATGTGCTTTTGCACATAGCAGCTACACTGTCGATAATATCTTGCGAATGTTAACGTTCCGCACGTGCTTTGAAAAGGTTAGAAAATTATAATAGAGGTACTATGGCGGAAGAGCGCAGAAATTCTTTGGTATTAAGGAACATTAATTATACCAAAAGAAGATCAGTTGACAAAATTATTGATATATTTGCCAGTTTACAGCCACGGAAAGTGGAATTCGAGAATATTTTAAATGCCGAACCAAAATGAAAGGCCAGAAAAATGTCTGCCTTTTTTTTTTTTAAATTTTTATTTGCAATTTAATTTTATATCCAAAATAAATTATGTATTTACAACTTTTTTGTATTTAATTCATATCTTTATTATATACAACAGTAATATGGATTTTTATATATTTATTTATATTTATAGTTGTATTATGTAACCAAAATAAAATGAATTTTATAATTCTTTTAATATTTTAATAATAATGTTTAATTAATTTTAAAATAGAAATATTGAGTTACGCATTTAATATAATTGTAAGGTAATAATTATAGATAAGATAATTAAATGCAATACATCCATAATTATGCTACATAATTTTATAAATAAAATTCATAATATAATTATTATTTATATTAAGATAGCTGCCATTAACACAATATATTCATCACGTAATAATTCCTATTTACTGGAAGATGCTGTAGTAGGGAGAACAGTATAGCCATAGGAGTCGTAACGGGCAACCTCCCCCCCCGCAATTTAAGCTGGCTACGACCATGTATATACACATATGTATGAATATTATTGTAATTGACAATACGGCTGAGTTAAATTTACTTTATTATCAGTAATGATCCAAAAAGAATGCAACAGTTCATTTCTTGACCGTGTCCTTTTTAATTTAAAAATATTTTCTTCCTTCTCAAGAAATAGTGCAACCAGAAGAAAGAGGAGCCAACCAGTGCTTCTCAAGTTCCAGCCAATTACAACTGACCTTATTCTATTCAAGAGTCGCCGACAGAAACGGGTTTTCCCCTATGAACTGTCTTTAGTTACTTCAAAATTTTATGATCTTCTATATCTACGAGGTGGAAACTCCATGCTGTTGTTTCTATGCAATAAAGATAAACCGTTTTGCGGATTCTCCATTTTATTAGGAGCCGTGTTGTTTTCACTGTGACTTATCTTATGATACGTATAATTAGGTAAGGTTTTATGTTAATTTACATACTTAGGGCAAAATAGAGAACTTCTGACTAGAAAATATTTTCGTAAATATATTTTAACTCGCAAGTGTACTTTTTTATAAATGGATCCTTTCAATCTTCATACTATTTAAAATCGTATGCAAATCAGTAGTATATTTCCTGTTAGTTTAATGTTTAATATTACTTTAATAAGTAAAGAATGAAGCATGTATAACTGAATCATACGAAATGTAATATGATAAGAAATTTTTCCAACAGATGGCAGCACATATGGAAATGTTATTTTCATGGCTTTTATTTACTAAAAAAAAATTTTTGCCTTAATTAAAGAGCCATTTTTAAAAGTAACTGAAAGAGTGAATTCTTTCACCAAAAACTTTTTATAGAGACTGAACAAGCTGTATAGAAATTCTATGCAATTGTAAGGAAATTTTACGAAGATTTCACAGAACATAATTCTGTAGAATGGTTGCTTTACAAAATCATGTATGTATGTAGTGTAAATTTTGTAAAACATCTATGGAATGGTTAACTAGAGACTTCTGCAACGTTTTCAAACTGCAATCAATTTTTTAGTTTCTGATCTACTGTACGGCATATAGAACAACAAAAATAGACAATTTTCATTCATAGGTTTTAAATCATTTTTGCATGGAAATATTTGCTTTTTTTTCCCACTAGCTTAACGTCTAACGCTTCTGAATTTACGCAACATTTTGCGCAAATTTTTGTAGAGTACAGCTTACATAATATGAAAATTAATCTTGTAAAAGCGTAAAATCAATTTCAATCGTAAAATTAGTTAAAATGTTCAGTTTATACTGTTAATTACAAAATTGTAATTCCTGAAGTGAATGCTTATAATTATTGTATCAAAAAAAAAAAAAAAAAAAAAAAAAAAAATGAGACAATGCTATATTTTCCCGTTCTACTGGGCCGATTGACAAAATTCAAATTGCGTTTTTCATGTCTCGAAAGCGCGACTTAGGATATATATTAGATTATATATATCACACTATTCTAACATAGGTATTTTGACACAAAATCGGACTTTTCTGAAATAACAAACCAATTTTTTTCCATATTTCGATTCTACGACTCAAATTATGCCAGCAGAATACCAAGTTTTGTAAAAATCGTACGACTAGTTTTTAAATATTAACTCTCAAAATTTTAGCTCCTCAATGTTAATTGAATTTGGCAAATATTTATTAATATCTCTTTTTTATTAAACTTTTTTGATTTTTTATCTCACATTTCGAAATTTAGGTTCATTCCAAATAAAATTTACCCATTTTTTTGTGTTTTTTTTTTAAATTTCTATTTTTAAATAATTTTTATAAATTTTTCGAAAAAAATTTTGAAACTAAACCTATAAAATTTTTACCATCATCATAAAGTAGGTGTATTTTTAAGCATATCTGCAAAAAATTAGACTTTTTATACAAAATTTTCTAAGATATACACGAATTTACATATTTCGCGTTTTGAAATTTGGCATCTTTTTCTTTTGAGCGATAATAACGCCAAATGTGGTCTATGGATTTTTGTTACACTGAAATGCCACAGCTATTTTTAACCTTAAATTTCAAGTAAAATTTTACGGAGAATTAATTATATGAAATTTTTTCCCTCAATAAGGCGTAATAAAATATTTATTAATACTATATGAAAAGCTAAATTTTAGATGATATTATTCAAAATTTAACAATGTTTTTTAATTTCTCTTTTCTTCCTTTTTTTAAAAAAATAAGAGTACATTTTTCTAAGAGTAAATTTTTACCTTCGGCGTTTTATCGTCTGCTACTTTACTTCGTTTAAATCGAATTGTCTAAAACTGAGAAATTTTCGTTTAATGTTTATTTGAATTTTATGAAATATTTTATGACCATTAACTGCATATTATTTCTAAACAAACTGTTGGTTTTGAAATGGCTGAAAGAGCGGCAGATAATATCATCCATATTTTTAAAGCACAGTATTTTTTATAGAAACCAGAGTCATAGCTAGGGTTTTCAGCGCCCAGGGACAACTGAAGATTTCGCGCCGCCTACTGCTTGCCAAGGATGGAAAACATTTAATTCTAAAATGTCGTAACATCAGTTTGGCGCCTCTTAGACTCTGCGCCCGGGGACAGATGCCCCCCTTGCCCCCTCTAGCTACGCCCCTGATAGAAACGTAAGATTTAGAATAATCATTTATATAAGTCAAATTATGATATAAACATACAACCCTCTAGAGACTGAATTAGTGAAAGTTCAATTGGTTATGTAGAAATGATCTGCAGCTACTTAATGGCTGGATAAGTCAACAGCTTCTGTGGACAAGTAAGAATAATTATATAAACGACACAACAACATTCTGGATTCAATTAACAACGAGGATACGATGTTTATTAAATGAATTTAAGAAGTTTTAAAACATAAAAAAATCAACTCATTTTTTATCCTAAAATGTATTTTTGTGCGTAGCGTATTTTATTATATCCTTAAAATTCTAATTTAGAATGTAATTGTCAAGAAATCAATCCTAATTATCAGTAACATAATAAGTAATTATTACGGTTATTAATAAATCCTTCTTATAAAGTAATTGTAAATATTTCAAAAAACTTTCCGTCTGAATGCAAATATTTTTCTATGCAAAATTTTTAATTTTATATTAATCAAGATTGCACACGATATTATTTATTTGCACTTCAATTTTTACCGTCAGCTCTAGTAAAAGTTACAAATCAATTATATTAATTAAGGATTTGATTGGATTATTTAATTATGGCAAAGCACACGAGGGCTATCTGTCTAAAGGGAGGGATGCCTTCATGGAGGACTTTCTAAGGTAAACTGGCTCGTATACACGTTACACGTGGGGAAAACCACGAAAAGACCCATGCAGCCAGCCCTCGTTCGCGGGATTCGAACCTCAGACCGAACTACCAGTGCTCAGCGTCTTTACCGCTCGGCCGTTTGTGGGCCTTTATGAAATGGAAGGCGATAACTTTATTTAAAATGATTGTCAGAAATATCAAGATATTTCGAAAATTTGGATACTTTTTAATATACTTGCGGAATGCCTAAAGAAAAAGAGCAAGAATAAAGTAGAATGTCTGAAGAAAAAAGAGAAGAAAAAATAAATTTTGCGGTAAAATTTAGTATTTGTATTTTTTTTTTTTTTTTTAAATTTAAAACTTTTTAATCTTATGATATTTTGATTCTTACGATTTCAAAAATAAATATTTGACTAAAAATATGAATAACATTTAAGAAACCAAATGTAGGATAAAATAAAATGTGTAAAGCAATGGGCACAATGATAAAACTGTTTAAAGCAGTGTATGCAAGTCATCCTAAGTTAAAATGTCGCAATCCTAAGTTAAATGTCTCTCTTATTTATATATATCTTTCTGAACGGAACATTGAAAGGCGTGTGTTAACTGTGCTTTACTGTATTTTCTCTTTTAATATATGCAGTTTTCAAACGCATCGTAGCCTGGGTTACAAAGTATTCCTCCGAAAGAAACGCAATTCAAATAAATAAAATCAAATTCTGGAAAATTTATATAATAAATAAATATATTTAAAATTCTCAATTCGAAGGAATAAATAGAAAATTTTAAAACAATTATCTGAAGAGACAATGCAACACAACAATTAAATAAAAGTTAAGAATTTAAAATTACCTAAAATAATAACTATGACAAAAATATATATACAGTGTCTCACAAAAGTGATGGGACACTTGTGCTTACAAAAGGAAAACTGCAATAAAATAAATTTAAAAAAAACATGTAAAATTTTTTGTGGATGTATTTCATACTTAAATTTAGTAACAATTATTACATAACATACATTTTCTCAAAATATTAAAATATTAATTTAATAAAAATACAATGTTTAGAACGGAGCAGAAATGGCTCACTTAAGTGATGGGACACTTACTTTCCATCAAATATTTATCCAAAAATTTACTTTTTAAAAGGTGTTTAATATTTTTGTTGGATTTCATTTTACTTTTAAAACATGATTTAATCTTCTTGGGATGGATTCGACTAATTTTTTTGTGATTTCTGGAGTGATTTTACCCCATTCTTCTTGAAGCACCGATTTTAATTGTTGTTTTGAAGAAATGGTGTGTGTTTGTGAATTCTTGATTCCATTTTTGCCAAATATTCTCTATGGGATTAAGTCGGAGATTGTGGTGGTGTTTTTATTATTTCAGGACAGTTATACAGCAGCCAGAGTCTAACGTTCAAAGCACTGTGCTTGGGGTCATTGTCCTGGTAGAATTTAATATCGTTATGAAGGGTCAACTTTCGTGCTGAAGATTTCAAAATTTTGATTTAAAATGTCAATATACTTGTCCTGATTCATTAGACTGTCAATAAAATCAAATAAATCATTAAATCATAAATAAATGTCAATAAAAACTGTCAATAAAGATTACCGAACTCCAGCAGACGACATACACTCCCATACCATAACTCCTCCTCCACCATCTTTTACTGTTGGCACCAAGTTCTGTTTGCGAAACTCTTTCCCTGGGTTTTCCTGGGTTCCACACCGAAGATTCTACCGTCAATAACCAAATTATATTAAATTACTCTTATCAGCAAATATAACTTCATTCCAGTAATCAGAATTCTTATTTATATTGGATTTTGCGAAAGCCCAGTCTGAGTTTTCTATTCTTTCACTTACGAAGAATTTTTCCTGTCTGCTCTACCGTGATATCCAGCAGAACGAATTACTCTTCTAATAGTCTCAGAATTAACAATTACTCCATATAATGCTTGTAAATCAGCAGCAGCAACTTTAGGAGCACTCATTCTTGGATTTTTTTTTAAATATTTCGAACTATAATTCGCTTTATTCCATTGGATAGCTTTGATGGTCGGCCAGGTCTTCTTTTTATCCTGAATCATATGATTCTTTTATCGTTTAATGATATTGAAAACTGTTGAATGACTGAAGTTAACTGTTTCAGTAGTGCTCTAATAA